TACATATACTTGTATAAATGTGTATATACCTATAAATTATCTTGACGATAAAGGATGGTCTCTCCACCTTATTCTGCTACACAGCTATCACTGCTCTCTGATTGTGGGAGTTAAATTACTTTCTTTGATTAATATTTTAATTAACTGAGTTTAACCCCTAAATTATTTTGTTTCTTTTTTTTCGTTACCAGAATATGCTTTTTGCCTCCTGTATATGAACTGAAAAACCTACAAGTTTCCAGGACGGTGTGAAAAATAAACTTTACAACGGGAAAGGGAGACTGATCTCTTTAAAAAAAAACATGGGAGGCAACTTGATAATGATTTTAATTATTATGGTCATAAAATTCAGGTTGATTGGATGTTATAGTGTGCCCAAGCAAAATGTCACAGACAGATGGAATTTGACCAGAAATGGTAAAAAATCTGGCTCATCAAACTCTTTCAATGACATGCTAAATAAAGTCCCTGAAATGTTAGGAATAACAAGAGCACGCAGCGGATGTGAAGATACGTCATTTGGGTGCCAGGGGTCTCGGACTGTGGACAAGATTCATAGTGGGAACATTGGTCTTAATTCAGGGCATACGGCAGAAGTTGGTCTTAATTTAGGGCATACGGCAGAAGTTGGTCTTAATTCAGGGCATACGGCAAAAGTTGGTCTTAATTCAGGGCATACGGCAGAAGTTGGTCTTAATTCAGGGCATACGGCAGAACGTGGTCTTAATTCAGGGCATACGGCAGTTGGTCTTAATTCAGGGCATACGGCAGAACGTGGTCTTAATTCAGGGCATACGGCAGTTGGTCTTAATTCAGGGCATACGGCAGTTGGTCTTAATTCAGGGCATACGGCAGTTGGTCTTAATTCAGGGCATACGGCAGTTGGTCTTAATTCAGGGCATACGGTAGAAGTTGGTCTTAATTCAGGGCATACGGCAGAAGTTGGTCTTAATTCAGGGCATACGGCAGAAGTTGGTCTTAATTCAGGGCATACGGCAGAAGTTGGTCTTAATTCAGGGCATACGGCAGAAGTTGGTCTTAATTCAGGGCATACGGCAGTTGGTCTTAATTCAGGGCATACGGCAGTTGGTCTTAATTCAGGGCTTACGGCAGTTGGTCTTAATTCAGGGCATACGACAGAAGTTGGTCTTAATTCAGGGCATACGGCAGTTGGTCTTAATTCAGGGCATACGGCAGTTGGTCTTAATTCAGGGCATACGGCAGTTGGTCTTAATTCAGGGCATACGGCAGAAGTTGGTCTTAATTCAGGGCATACGGCAGAAGTTGGTCTTAATTCAGGGCATACGGCAGAAGTTGGTCTTAATTCAGGGCATACGGCAGAAGTTGGTCTTAATTCAGGGCATACGGCAGAAGTTGGTCTTAATTCAGGGCATACGGCAAAAGTTGGTCTTAATTCAGGGCATACGGCAAAAGTTGGTCTTAATTCAGGGCATACGGCAAAAGTTGGTCTTAATTCAGGGCATACGGCAGAAGTTGGTCTTAATTCAGGGCATACGGCAGAAGTTGGTCTTAATTCAGGGCATACGGCAGAACTTGGTCTTAATTCAGGGCATACAGCAGAAGTTGGTCTTAATTCAGGGCATACGACAGAACTTGGTCTTAATTCAGGGCATACGACAGAACTTGGTCTTAATTCAGGGCATACGGCAGAACTTGGTCTTAATTCAGGGCATACGGCAGAAGTTGGTCTTAATTCAGAGCATACGGCAGAAGTTGGTCTTAATTCAGGGCATGCAACAAAAGTTGGCGTTAATTCAGGGCATACAACAGAAGTTGGACCTAATTCAGGGCATACGGCAGAAGTTGGTCTTAATTCAGGGCATATGGCAGAAGTTGGTCTTAATTCAGGGCATACAGCAGAAGTTGGTCTTAATTCAGGGCATACAGCAGAAGTTGGTCTTAATTCAGGGCATACGGTAGAAGTTGGTCTTAATTCAGGGCATACGGCAGAAGTTGGTCTTAATTCAGGGCATACAGCAGAAGTTGGTCTTAATTCAGGGCATACGGCAGAACTTGGTCTTAATTCAGGGCATACAGCAGAAGTTGGTCTTAATTCAGGGCATACGACAGAAGTTGGCTTTCAGTCAGAAAACGTATTTGGTTTAGACACAACAAAGTCAAATGTTATTGTTAATTCAGTCAATTACATTCATGATGGAGTCAATTTAGAGCACGCCACAACCTCAAGTGTTGAACCGCAGTCCCCTTGCAAACTAACATCAAACGGCAACGAGGCTACAGTTGACTGTCGAAATCTTGACTTAAGTCATCTCTCACCTGCCTGGTTTCCTGACTCCACGACTCAAATTTACCTGGACAACAATAACTTGATGGAGATTCCAAATCAAATTTTTAACCATTTGAGTCGACTTCAAATTCTGAGCATATCTTACAATAAGATAAACGAAATCCACGAAAACGCTTTTGTTGGGTTGGTAAATTTACAGAAATTAAATCTTGAATTGAATCAACTAGACATAGCAGATAAAAGATGGACATTTCAAATTTTTAATCCGTTGAAGAACTTGACTGAGCTTCGTTTGATGTATAATAAAGCAACGTATTCAAGCAGCATTAATTTACCTCAATCTCTGTACAAATTAAAACTGCTGACTTTACGAAGCAGAGATGTTTTTTTATATTTTGGTGAAGACTTTAAAATGCTTGCAGATCTCCATCGATTGGAAATTTCCGGGTCATCTACAAATATCACAGAACAAACATTTGAAAACGTTGGTGTTATAAGAGAATTATGTATGAATAATTTTAAAGAAATCATGAATGTAGATAAGAAAGCATTCGAACCGTTAAAAAATCTAACCGTTCTGGTCCTTGACTATTTTTTTATTGGAGTTAAGACTATTCTGAGAAGACTTACCCCGTTTAAAGGGCGACAAATGGATATGATTCGGCTTTCGACTGTAAGCTTTACTTCAACAAACAAATACCCGCCCATGCATGCCCAGGACGGTATCTTATCAGGTGAAGATTTGCAACACATTTTAGAAATTTGTGTTCGAAATCTTATCTTCACAAACAATTATATTTACTATTTACAACCCTTAAATTCCGAGCAGTTAAAAAAATGGGACCAATGCTTAGAAAGCCTAGATATATCTTTGAATAGATTTATTTTAATCAATCGCCTAACTCCTGGAGTTGAAAAGTTATTGGGCTTGAAACATCTGCAGAAATTTACTTTCGACAACATTGTTAGATCGTGTCATTTTGATGCCGATAGAGGTGGAGTGTCACCATGTAATAATTACGCTGAATTTAGAGAATACGGTATATTTGAATTTAAATATTCAGAAAAGAGTAAAACCAAATCTTTTAGACAAAAGTTACAAAAAAATAATTTAACCAGTTTCCAAAACAATGTTGGTTCAAACTCTGGTAGGATTGATGATCAGACTGAAACGGATTCGTTAAATTATAACCTAACTACTAACGGTGGAAATGTTGTAAGTTTTAATGTGTCTGAGAGCATTAAAGTAATCAATGCGGGTAGAACACTAGCAAGCTGCTCCCTCAAACAAAATGTCACACTCCGTGGAGCGCAAAATGTGAAATACATTGACCTTTCAGAAAACAGATGCGCCGATTTTCAAGGACGATTTCTTGGACTTACTGGATTGGAATCTTTAATTCTGACAGGAAATAACATGGCCGTGTTGTCTGATTCATTTTTTAAACCCTTGCCAAGTTTAAGAAATCTGGTCATGTCGGCTTGCCAGTTAGACAGCGATCAAATGTCAAAGAAAAGTGATCACATTTTTGGTCACCTAAAAAAGTTGGTAACACTGGACTTATCTTCTAACTCTTTACATTCACTCTCCAAACGGACTTTTGATAGAAATACTGAACTGGCTTTTCTGAATTTGACAGAAAATAATTTTCAGTATGTGCCGTTTGATTTAGCTGACAGGCCAAATCTGAGAGAATTAGATTTGACAGACAATTTGATCGCATCACTGAGCGTGAGAGAAACTCAAGACATGGACGACCTAGTCCGTCAGTTTGGCAGCTTTAATCTCCATTTATCTGGCAACATTTTGTCTTGCGGCTGTCAAAGCCTGCAGTTCCTACAGTGGTTGGTGATGACGCGGGTCACATTGGACGCCGATGGAAATTTCACGTGCATGAACGACGACGGCGAGCTGACCTTCACCTCCAAGTACCGTGACCTTGAGAAAGTGTGGCGCCACTGTATGGGCACTTTCTACTTTGCCCTCTCCCTCGTCCTGTTTTGTTTCATGGCGGTCGGTTTTCTCACGTGTTATATTGTAACAAAATATAAAACTTTTATAATGTGCAGTTTGATTCAAATCGTGGGAGGCTTCAAACGAAAAACTAAAAACGATTACGATACTGGAGTATTTATAGGATACGCGGATGAAGAGTATCGATTCCCATGTACAGAGTTACGTGAATTTATCGAGAAAACTCTCGGCCTAAGTACATATATAAAAGACCGCGATTCTCCAGTTTCTAGCAATAAAGCAAACAGTTTAGTAACAGCTATCAACTCTAGCTGGAGAATAGTTCTGGTGTGTAGTCAACCTTTTCTAAGAGATGACCAGTGGGCAGTGTTTACGATGAAGTGGGCCATGCTGTCTCAGACTCCGGCCAACCCGGCACGAGTTATCGTTCTTGTGCGAGAAGATCTTCTCGATGACCTCCCCTCAGAAGTTATCAGCGGTGTGGCGAGTGAGAATATCATCGTGGTGGCGAGCTGGGAACTGGACTATGGTGTGGAGCAGAAGTTGAGGACATTGTTGGTTCCATAACAGGGTTGATGAGTTTATGTTTGTTGGATAATTGGGAACATACACAGTGGATACATAGTATGTTGGACAAGTTCCTACACATAAATTTATATTTTATTTCTCACGATGGTTGAGCAACATAACTTGTGGACAAATAACTCCATTGAAATAGTTGTGACATCAAGCCGTTGTTTGATGGGAATTACAATAGCTAGGTTAATAATCAACGATGGACGAGCCACGAAATAAGTATATTTTTGTTGATGCAAAATGACCAATAATAAAGAATTCATAAAAAATACTCTGTGATGCGTCTTCCATTCCAATATTTTACTAACTATGTACATGTATAACAGAAGCTATTATCGGCTAGTCTTTGCCCCGACAATTTTATAGCCATATCTAAATTTAATATATAATTAAACATGTATTTGTATTTAGATTTTTTAACGGTAACACATAAAGCTACGCTAAAAGCAGAAACACATACACTTTTGCTTGATTCTAAAATTTAACTTACACTTCACTTACCCCTTTCTCGATAACGCGGTTCTTTATACAAATATAATGAGCATCAGAGTCAATTAATTATACATAAAACCGCTACTTGCTTACTGTAGCTTACCTAGCAACCTGCAATCCCATGTGACACAATTAAAATAACCAAAACTATTTTTTGTAAATACATCCAGAAAAAAACCATTTAATACATACACAAATGTTTATACATACATGCACGTGTATATACCTTATATATTTTAAATTATAGGCCTACACACACACGCATCCGCTCACACACAAGCACGCATGAATCACAGACGTCATCCACATAACTGAAAAGGTACTCAAATTATCGTGTAAACACACAACACAGTCAACGCACATATACATATTTAGAATGATTACAAAACTGGATTCTTCTGGCTAAAAAAATGTGTAAAAAGTCGCGATTTGTTAAAATGTCTATTTCGATTTTATTTTTCATAAATACAACACTTTCCCCTCTGGGCTCTTGTTACAAGTGAAAAGCCATTGTGACAGAAATGGCTATTCAGTTGACAACGCCTTAAAATGAGCCAGAAGTTATGGAAATAAGCCTACTTATTGTATTGAGATAAACGTATATTTCAATTTGAACATAAAGCACATCAGCATTCTTCCAAGACAAATCATAAATGATAATGAATTTAAAATCTTCATCTTCTTCTTCGTTCTTAATTTTAGTGTTGGAAGGGACACCCTTCACAATTAAGTATACGTGTCAACTGGTTATGCGCCATTGACTCCGATTTCAGCCTGCTTTTTGTTTTTGGATTTGCTTCCATAGTCTTTGTCCAACCAAGAACAAACTACAAGGCAGCAGTTGTTTGATTTTGGAGTTGTCTCTCCTAGAAGAGTGGCTGTCCCCAGCTAACGAGCATTATCTGCCTGAGGGTTCGATCTCGAGACTTTTCGGTTTTGTAAAAATGAGCAATACCGACTCGATCATAAGCTGTTCAATTCACCAAAAATAAAAATAAAAATTTAAATAAAAATTTTATATTAATCATTGGACGCTAAAATGTGCAAGAAATTTTATGGACGACCAATGTTTTTACAAGGGAAATTACGCTTTGAAAATTAAGCTTTTATTTAGTTCGCAACGTCTAGTAATTTAATTACGACTCTCTTCAAATACACCGATTCTGTTCATTCTTTTCGCATAATTTCTTCCTCTGTGACAATGCAAGAATATCGATTATTAAAAATTGACTTTGAATTTAAGGTAGTCATTTAAATTAAAATTTAAATTGATAATATTCAATAATAAAAGAGGAGACAACACGTTTCAAAACAAACGATCACTCTAATAGCTGGCCATCACACGATGAATTGTTTTGCACGGCTGGGTGATGTTTTACCTGACAGTGGACTAAAATATGTAAGAGGTCTAATGAACAACCAACCTTTTATTTAAAAAAAGCAAGTTTGTTTTACTGTCTTATTTTCAGTGCAGTTAAAATCTAATTATTAGGAAGGTTTTTTATATTTGTTTAAAGTTAGTGCATGGAAAAGTTTGTTGTTATGAAATAACTAGAAAAGTATTGTGCTTCATGCTTTTTTTTTCTCTCTTAATTGCCTCAGACATGTAATATACAGCGTCAGTTTGCCTTGCCATGTTCGCTTTAGTATTAAAGTTTTCATCATAAACCTGTGAGGACTGATACAGATTTACAGCAGAAATACTTCTTTACGACAAGGAATTTCATTTATTGAAAATTGTTTCCTTAAACAAAAAACCAATCGTCAAATTTCATTTTTGTAGTTTGTAAGAGTAACGGAATGATCAGAGCTAAAGCTCTCAAGGGCACAAAATAAAAATTTTAAAAATATGTTAACCTTGAAAGGGAAAGTCTTGTGGCGATTCTTAGAAATCTTATTAGGTTCAAGAGTTTTTTCTAAAAATGATATATAATATTACAAGGGGAAGTGACAATTAGTGGTATTATTGTGCTATATAATATGGAGACTTTCTTTCAGATACCCCAGCCCCCGAACCACATTAACCATACCCATCCCTACGAACTGAATTGAATTTATTTAAATCGAATTTATAAATTATTAAAATATTAAATTATCTACTTCACCCAGTGTCGCCCTCTTTTGCACCTTCCGAAATATTCAAGTACACCACCTATCCCCCCGGGGGAGAAAAAGTCTGTAAGAAAAACAGATATTATCCGCACAATTATTAAAATGGTTCATATTATTTAAGAAACACAACACAGACAATGTTTATGAAATCTTTATTATTAGTCAATTCTTCACATCTAACTTATTGATAGTTTTTTTAAAATTGTGTATCGTTCAACAATCCATAGCATAAAACAACTTCTTAATATCAGAAGAAATTCTTTATAAATACTTATATAATAAATACTTATATGTTGTAATGTTTCAATGATGTTTTTTGTCTTTTGCAACAAAAGTGTCTATAGGTTATGTTTATTTGCTTCACAAACAACAAATTAAATAATTTATGTTTGACCAATAAAATACATTAAACAATTTACTCTTGATCAATATAAGAAATTTAACAATTTACGTTTGACCAACATAAAAAATTAAACAATTAACGTTAGACTAACATAAAAGAGTAAACAGTTTACGTTTGACCAACAGATAAAAGTAAACATATTTATGTTTTATTAACATAACAAGTAATTATTTCAAGTGTCAAGACCCGTCCAACAAATTATATATCCACTGTGTATGTTTCCACTTATCCAACACAAACAAACTCATCAACCCTGTTATGGCACCAACAATGTCCTCAACTTCTGCTCCACACGATAGTCCAGTTCCCAGCTCGCCACCACGATGATATTCTCACTCGCCACACCGCTGATAACCTCTGAGGGGAGGTCATCGAGAAGATCTTCTCGCACAAGAACGATAACTCGTGCCGGGTTGGCCGGAGTCTGAGACAGCATGGCCCACTTCATCGTAAACACTGCCCACTGGTCATCTCTTAGAAAAGGTTGACTACACACCAGAACTATTCTCCAGCTAGAGTTGATAGCTGTTACTAAACTGTTTGCTTTATTGCTAGAAACTGGAGAATCGCGGTCTTTTATATATGTACTTAGGCCGAGAGTTTTCTCGATAAATTCACGTAACTCTGTACATGGGAATCGATACTCTTCATCCGCGTATCCTATAAATACTCCAGTATCGTAATCGTTTTTAGTTTTTCGTTTGAAGCCTCCCACGATTTGAATCAAACTGCACATTATAAAAGTTTTATATTTTGTTACAATATAACACGTGAGAAAACCGACCGCCATGAAACAAAACAGGACGAGGGAGAGGGCAAAGTAGAAAGTGCCCATACAGTGGCGCCACACTTTCTCAAGGTCACGGTACTTGGAGGTGAAGGTCAGCTCGCCGTCGTCGTTCATGCACGTGAAATTTCCATCCGCGTCCAATGTGACCCGCGTCATCACCAACCACTGTAGGAACTGCAGGCTTTGACAACCGCAAGACAAAATGTTGCCAGATAAATGGAGATTCAAGCTGCCAAACTGACGGACTAGGTCGTCCATGTCTTGAGTTTCTCTCACGCTCAGCGATGCGATCAAATTGTCTGTCAAATCTAATTCTCTCAGATTTGGCATGTCAGCTAAATCAAACGGCACGTACTGAAAATTATTTTCTGTCAAATTCAGAAAAGTCAGTTCAGTATTTCTATCAAAAGTCCGTTTGGAGAGTGAATGTAAAGAGTTAGAAGATAAGTCCAGTGTTACCAACTTTTTTAGGTGACCAAAAATCTGATCACTTTTCTTTGACATTTGATCGCTGTCTAACTGGCAAGCCGACATGACCAGATTTCTTAAACTTGGCAAGGGTTTAAAAAACGAATCAGACAACACGGCCATGTTATTTCCTGTCAGAATTAAAGATTCCAATCCAGTAAGTCCATGAATTCGCCCTTGAAAACCGTCGCATCCGTTTTCTGAAAGGTCAATGAATTTTACGTTTTGTGCACCGTAAAGAACCAAGTTGGTCTTGAGGGAGCACTTATTCAACAATCTCTGTAGTTTAAGCACTTTAATGCTACTGGACATATTAAAAGTCTGAAAGTTTACGCTGTTGAAACTTAACAAGTTTTGACCAATATTTTGAAAAGATGCGTTTCTTTCTGAATTCAGGATAACGCTAGCTTTATATTCAAACATTTCTGTGTCGTTTATTTGAGAGCTAGTACTTAAAATATATTCCCTCTGATTTCTAAATTCAGTAAACACAATAACCGGTTCTTCGAAGTGACTGTAAACACTGCGAATAGCCCGAACAAGGGCTGGGTGTGTTTTGTCACACGACTTTATGCTGTCACCAGCGTTTAGAAGTTGAAGGTTGTTAAAAAGCATCAACCGTAAGAGACCAGGATTAACCCCAGCGAAACTATTAAAGGATATATCCATTTTCTGAAGACATACGTCCCACAAACTGGAATCCTCGAAAGCATCTGGTTCTAATAAATAAATATAACTATCCTTCAAAGCAAACTCTCTAACACAAATTTGCAAAACGTGTTTGAAATCTTCTCGACTTAATTCTCCATCGTGTGTGTGCATCGACGGATATCTATCTGTAGAGCTAAAAGTCACAGATTTTAAAGAAATCAACTCCATTCTTCTTCCTTGGAATGGGGCCAGTCTTTTCAGCATATTTTTAACCCCAATGAAAAAATGATCGATTAATAAAACCGTTAAATTTTTTAACGGCTCAAACGCTTTTTCATCCATAATGGAGATTTCTTCAAAATTGTAGATGTATAGTTCTTTTATTGCACCAACGTTTTCAAATGTTTCTTTTGTGATAATCTGAGATGATCCGGAAATTTCCAATCGTTGAAGATCTACAAGCAACTTAAAGTCCTCACCAAAATATAAAATATCATCACTAATGCTTAGAGTCAGCAGTTTTAATTTATACAGAGATTGAGGCAAATTAATGCTCTTTGAATACGTTGCTTTATTATACATCAAACGGAGCTCAGTCAAGTTCTTCAACGGATCAAAAACACGAAATCCCCATCTTTTATCTGATATGTCTAGTTGATTCAATTCAAGATTTAATTTCTGTAAATTTACCAACCCTACAAAAGCGTTTTCGTGGATTTCGTTTATCTTGTTGTAGGATATGCTCAGAATTTGAAGTCGACTCAAATGGTTAAAAATGTGATTAGGAATCTTCATCAAGTTATTTTTGTCCAGGTAAATTTGGGTCGTGGAATCAGGAAACCAGGCAGGTGATAGATGACTTAAGTCAAGATTTCGACAGTCAACTGTAGCTTCGTTGCCTTTTGATGTTAGTTTGCAAGGGGACTGCGGTTCGTAACTTAAGGTGTTTGTGTTTTTCGCAACATCCGTGCAGTTTTTAGACCCAACTGCAAGGGTTGAATTTTTTCCTGAAGAAACACTAATGGTGGTGCTGATTTTTGAATTGGCATTTGAGATGGAAGGTCGTTCTGAAATAGCTGTAACATTTGATGTGTTTACTAAGCTTACACGGTTAAATCCAGCACCTGTATAGTTTATTGTATCAACACCCGCATGTAAAACACTGTCATAGTTATCTCCGAATGTTGTAGAGTTTTTGGAAATAATCATAGCAGCTGTTGTATTTTTTACACTAACGCCAACTGCTGTCATGTTTTTGGAATGATCTCCAACAAACCCTAACTGTGAGTTGTCCCGTGGATTAAATTGTAACTTGTCAGACTTGGGCTTGTCAAATTGTAACTTGTCAGACTTAGACTTATCAAATTGTAACTTGTCAAGCTTAGACTTATCAAATTGTAACTTGTCAGGCTTAGACTTGTCAAATTGTAACTTGTCAGACTTAGACTTGCCAAATTGTAACTTGTCAGACTTAGACTTGCCAAATTGTAACTTGTCAAACTTGGACTTGCCAAATTGTAATTTGTCAAACATAGACTTGTCAAATTGTAACTTGTCAACTGACCGTAACCTCCGGCATCCCGGCATTTTGTTTTGGCACCGTCGTGGTAAAACTGGCAATGAAGACAAATCACTTTGACCGGTACCATCGACCATTACCTGGCCACTGCTGTCCTTTGCACCACCTTTCAGAAGATTTCTTGTAACTTCAGCACTGGTCGACTCACGGACATTTGATGAGGCTATGTATCCTATAATAAAAATCTCCAACACGACAAAAAAATATAAAACTCGTTGATTTCTTCCCATTATCTCAATAAAGTTAGAATCTCTACTTGGTGTTTATTTTTTTAGTGATTGAGACAACTAGACCTCAAGTTATTGATAGTTTTAAAAACTGTCTCCAGCTATAAAATCAAATGTAAGATCTCACACTAGATAAACGCTTTTAGAAAATATATCCAACATCCACTGCTTTAAATTCTGAAGTGTCAGCGTCTAGTCAACCTTCGGCCACACTACTTCTCTTCACACATTAAGCAGACACTACATTAAAGCACCTGGTGGTTTGTCATTGGTTGTGTCGGGTTAGACATGTATAGGTAAACCCCGCCCACCCATTTCGTGTTCAAATACAGTTTGACCCTCGTGGTGTAGGTGACGGGGGTAAGGATGAACAATGGCCTAGTTATAAGCCGGTATCAAACCCCAAAAGTAGAGATAGAACCTAGAAGTTAGACTGCATTTGTTAATGTCTATTTTGTCTTAACAATATATTAATAAACCTCAAACCCCAATAGTAAATAATTATAGAACCCAGTAGTTAGAGACTACATTGATTAATGTCGAATTTGTCTTAACAATATATGTATTTTAATACGCCTCAAACCCCCAAAGGTAGATATTGAACCTAGAGACTGCATTTGTTAATGACGATTTTGTCCTAACAATATATACATTTTATAATAACGCCAAGGGGGGTTGGTGTGTTTTGTTGTGAGTTGAGTACACGCAGAGGATGTCAATACCTAACTGTATATCACAGCTGCTCTCAAGACAAATTAATTTGTAAGAGTTTTGTTTTACAACACTGCACACGTTTCACAACCGACCGGAATCAAGGAATGTCCCCCACCCACTCCCTCTCTTTAACTTCCCAGACCTAACCTTTTTTACTTTCTCGTATAGAGAAAGTATTGTAATCGGGCAAAAAAAAATCGAGATTTTTACAAATCTCGACGTTTTACACTTCACTGATACGGAAAAACATAATTTTGCAATCTTGTCCGTATGTCTGTGTCTGTGTGTCTGTCTGTGTGTAAACACGATAACTTGAGTACCGTTACAGCTAGGTTGATGGAATTTCATATAATTTTATCAAAATCGTAGATCCGTATCAACTTTTGAGCGATTTCCGACAACCGGAAGTGGTACTTTTTCTACTTTGAATTTTTAAAAAGCCTATAACTTGAGTACTATTTCAGATAGATAAATGAAATTTCACATGTAAGTAAAAGATCTAATTCTCTACCTTCTGTCAAATTTTGAGTAATTTCCGATGACCGGAAGTACTAATTTACGCTATTTCCGATTTCTCAAAAAACGCACGTAAATTTATAAAGTACTAATAATATCCCGCACTATTATGCACATTTTATTAGGCGTTCACTTAGTGTGCCATTCTTTTTGTTTACGAGATTCCATTTTATTATAAAAAGTTTAAGAAATTAAAAATGGCTTACAATATTGTCTATGTCCTGAGTTGCCATCCCTCGTAGTTTTATATTAGAATATCCGAGAAAGTTTAGGGGAGATCACTCCCGGTTTATTTTATTCTATCTTCCAAAGTATGTCAACTTCCTTGTTCCTACACTACAGATTCTTGTCTTAGTCTCAAAGATTTCTGATTCTGGGATAGTCCACCAAGCTCTGAAGGGTACATAACTCACGTTGGGGAAAGTAAAGGCGGCTGAGCATAGTGCCCATCACGGCCATAACTGTATTCATAATTTACTAAATTCTTTTTTTTTTACAAATTGTTTATTTTAAATTAAGTGAATATCGCAGCATATTTTACAGTAATGTAAGAGTTAGTTAACCAGCTGATGACGTCACGGTTTCCAGTCTTAAAGTCTGCCTCTGTATTTCTTGACCACTGGCCGACGTGGGCTGTCCTGTTTATTAAACAGCAGCTTCTGTTGGGAGATAACATTTAAAAAACTATCACCATCAATTGTTCGATTAGCATTTAGATGATACAACTAAACCGGTATTCCGATCAGTGGCGTAAAGAGGAAGGGGGGTGGCGGGGGTGCGGACCGCACCGGGTGACACCATTTAGGGGGGTGACACCAAGGAAAAAAAATTGCAAAATATATACATAGAGAAAAATAAGTGATTAATTTGAGTATTAAAAATTCTTTTAAGAGCAAATTTGACTAATCGAAAGTTTTAGGGGAGGGGGGGGGGCGATGCAAATCGAAAATTCTAAGATTGTCCCCGGGCGCCGGGAAGGGTCGCTACGCCTCTTGGGGGGGTGATACCATTATGTGAGTGTTTCATTAACATCATTGCTAAAATTAAACATTTACAGTTTCTTAACTTAACTATGAATGGACTATGACGTTATAAAAATCTAATTATATATCTCTCTACACGACTTTCCTCTTACTAGCTCTGTAAAAAAAGATTTCACACCTAAAAATTCTTAGGCCTAACTTTTTTTTTTAAATTTACTTACAAATGCTGAGAACACAATGACACCTCATGCATCGTTTAGTGCGCCAAGTTTCCAAGAATTATTTATCAACCACAAACATCCGGGATTTCTTAAATAGGTGGCAAATCGTTCGTTACACCGGTAATTCCGTGAACTAATTATACTCAATTGAAATACGCTGAATTGAGTTGTATTACAAATAGCGGACCTTTGTGTTTGCATACGGCGACGTTTGATTTTGTCTTTGGCTTTCATTTGCGAACAGCTTAAATGTTTTGTCATGCCGCTAACTCTAGTCCTAGAGACGCCTGCTGTTAATTCTAATTCTTATTCTGTAGGAATTGGGGCCTGTGGGTAACTTTTCATGGAGGTAACTGGCCATGTAGCTAAGGGGCCATCGATAAATGACGTCACGCTGTTTTTTGCGACAATTTTTACTCCCCCCTTCGTCACACATCGACACAAAAAGCTGGACCCTCCCCTAAAATGACGCGTCACACCTCAGCCTACAACACCACTCCCCCTTAAAATTGCAGTTGAATTTTTCTTAAAACAGCGATATTTTTTCAAAATCTTGTCTGAAATCTGTCAACATAGAGGATTTTAATCAATTTTTATTACAATTTATTTAAAAAGTTTTCTAAAACGGGAAATAACGGCTGAAACTTGTTTTCTAACATTGTCTTTAAGTAACTTAACCTGTAACTAAGTAACATGTCCTTAAGTAACTTGTCCTGTAGGTAACCTGTCTGGAATTATTCCTTGTCAACTCGCTCTGCACCATATTACTATGTCCCCTTCACGTTAATTTCAGTCTGCTTTTCTTTCTGGATTTGCTTCCATAGTCTTTGTCCAACAAGAAAAATTATGCAACGCAGCTGTTTGATTTTGGACTTGTCTCCCCTGGATGATTTGCCTTAACCTGCAGTCGAGCCGCATTGACAAGGGAAGTAATTTGAAATTATTTTTTAAATCTAAATTTACCTTTCAAACAGTGCGCATGTCAGGAAGGAAGTGATTTGCTTCAGGGACAGGTGAACTGTTGGTGAAACCTACCTGACCTACACTAATCACTAAACAAACTTTGATAGTGCGTGTGGACTGTGGTTCCGCGTTCCTTTCATGGCGGATATCTAGGGCTAGTGTTTGGGTTCAGGGTCTGATATATACCTGTCTGGTGTGACGTCATGGGTCAGGTGGGTGACGTGAGGTGTTAGGTGGGTGACGTGATATAACAGTCAGATTAACGTGGTATTAGAGTAAGGGTTGGTAAGGTGATATTAGAGTCAGGTTGTTTACGTGATATTAGAGTCAGGTTGGTAACGTGATATTAGAGTCAGGTTGGTAACGTGATATTAGAGTCAGGTTGTTTAAGTGGTATTAGAGTCAGGTTGGTAACGTGATATTAGAGTCAGGTTGTTTAAGTGGTATTAGAGTCAGGTTGTTAACGTGATATTAGAGTCAGATTAACGTGATATTAGAGTCAGGTTAGTAACGTGATATTAGAGTCAGATTAACGTGATATTAGAGTCAGGTTGTAACGTGATATTAGAGTCAGATTAACGTGATATTAGAGTCAAGTTGTAACGTGATATTAGAGTCAGATTAACGTGATATTAGAGTCAGGTTGGTAACGTGATATTAGAGTCAGGTTGGTAACGTGATATTAGAGTCAGATTAACGTGATATTAGAGTCAGATTGGTAACGTGATATTAGAGTCAAGTTGTAACGTGATATTAGAGTCAGATTAACGTGATATTAGAGTCCGATTAACGTGATATTAGAGTCAGATTAACGTGATATTAGAGTCAGATTAACGTGATATTAGAGTCAGATTAACGTGATATTAGAGTCAGATTAACGTGATATTAGAGTCAGATTAACGTGATATTAGAGTCAGATTAACGTGATATTAGAGTCCGATTAACGTGATATTAGAGTCAGGTTGGTAACGTAATATTAGAGTCAGATTAACGTGATATTAGAGTCAGGTTGGTAACGTGATATTAGAGTCAGGTTGATAACGTGATTTTAGAGTAAGATTAACGTGATATTAGAGTAAGATTAACGTGATATTAGAGTAAGATTAACGTGATATTAGAGTAAGATTAACGTGATATTAGAGTCACATTAACGTGATATTAGAGTCAGATTAACGTGATATTAGAGTCAGATTAACGTGATATTAGAGTCAGATTAACGTGATATTAGAGTCAGATAACGTGATATTAGAGTCAGATTAACGTGATATTAGAGTCAGATTAACGTGATATTAGAGTAAGATTAACGTGATATTAGAGTAAGATTAACGTGATATTAGAGTCACATTAACGTGATATTAGAGTTAGATTAACGTGATATTAGAGTCAGATTAACGTGATATTAGAGTCAGATTAACGTGATATTAGAGTCAGATTAACGTGATATTAGAGTCAGATTAACGTGATATTAGAGTCAGATTAACGTGATATTAGAGTCAGATTAACGTGATATTAGAGTCAGATTAACGTGATATTAGAGTCCGATTAACGTGATATTAGAGTCAGGTTGGTAACGTGATATTAGAGTCAGATTAAAGTGATATTAGAGTCAGGTTGTTAACGTGATATTAGAGTCAGATTGGTAACGTGATATTAGAGTCAGGTTGGTAACGTAATATTAGAGTCAGATTAACGTGATATTAGAGTCAGGTTGGTAACGTGATATTGAGTCAGGTTGATAACGTGATTTTAGAGTAAGATTAACGTGATATTAGAGTAAGATTAACGTGATATTAGAGTAAGATTAACGTGATATTAGAGTAAGATTAACGTGATATTAGAGTCACATTAACGTGATATTAGAGTCAGATTAACGTGATATTAGAGTCAGATTAACGTGATATTAGAGTCAGATTAACGTGATATTAGAGTCAGATAACGTGATATTAGAGTCAGATTAACGTGATATTAGAGTCAGATTAACGTGATATTAGAGTAAGATTAACGTGATATTAGAGTAAGATTAACGTGATATTAGAGTCACATTAACGTGATATTAGAGTTAGATTAACGTGATATTAGAGTCAGATTAACGTGATATTAGAGTCAGATTAACGTGATATTAGAGTCAGATTAACGTGATATTAGAGTCAGATTAACGTGATATTAGAGTCAGATTAACGTGATATTAGAGTCAGATTAACGTGATATTAGAGTCAGATTAACGTGATATTAGAGTCAGATTAACGTGATATTAGAGTCAGGTAGGTGTCGAGAAATTTTAAATGAAATGTATTTATAAATCCTCTTAATATGCGATAAAAATTATTTCATTATGCTCACTTCCTCTTAAGAAACATGAATCATCGTTTTATTTTAACGAATCAACTTCAAGAAAACCTAATTCGTTTATTTTTTTTTATCATTACACAAAGACCCTTATCTTAACTTACGTCAAGATTACCCAGGTAAGATTTAATTGACAAATAAAATACCTGGAGCTGTTTGTGCACCACCTGGAAGATTAAAAGGGCATAGACAAATGCCTGAAGTAGACAGCATTCAAGTTATTTGTCAATAATACGATCAGACTAGTTGTAGAATTATTTGAATTATTTTTTTAACTTCAGTGTAACAGATAATTTTTTAGAACACACAGGTAACAAGCTTTTCTAAACTATCAAATTATTAAAGCAAAACTGTTTTTCAAATTGTGTATCATATATTTGTTGCTACACTATATTGTCTTAACATGCGTATAACTCGTTAATACTAAAAAGTATAAAATAATAAATACATAAAAACGTTTATAATTACAAGTTTTATAAATACACCAAAAAGAAGAAAATAATACAATTTTTATTAAATATAAAAAAAATTTTTAAAAATATAATAAATCTGCGGTTACTTTTTGTATAAAAAATTACTTTCTTTAAATATATTAATGCACTACTTTTTATATCACTATAATTAAAAGCGTGGGCCGCTATAATAATAAGTATTTAAACAAGCGGCCCACGCTTTTAATTATAGTGATATAAAAAGTAATGCATTAATATATTTAAAGAAAGTAATTTTTTATATATATAAAGTAACCGCAGATTTATTATATTTTTAAAAATTATTTTATATTTAATGAAAATTGTATTATTTACTTCTTTTTAGTGCATTTATAAAAGCTTGTGATTATAAACGTTTTTATGTATTTATTATTTAAATGTTTATATTTTTGTGCTCACTTTTGAGGTTGATGCAACAAAGAAATCAATACACTTATTTGTAAAGCTTTATGTTTATACGTTGTTGTAACAAAACATTTTTACGTTTAACTACCTTCAACTCTTATCTCTCAAATGTAGCTGTTTGATGGTTGTTTGTGTGTGTATATATATATATATATATGTATTGCCATTTATGTTATGATCAAAAATGTATCAATGAAACGAAAGAGTGAAAGTGCATGCAGATGAATAGAAGGCTCAGTCTGGGAGCGGTAAGGTTTAACCACTGCGGCTCAACATACAACAAGATACAATCACTTACACATTACCCACACATCCTAAAAAGCCGCAACCACAGAGACCACACCCGATATAAACACACCTCATACGACCACAAAAACCCCATATGACCCACGGGTGTACCCCCCCCCCCTCCCAGGTATGGCTGCAGCCCGCCCCAGACAACCACACCCCATATCAACACACCTCATACCAGAGGCGTATCGACCCCTCCCGGCGCCCGGGGACAAATTTTTAACTTGGCGCCATCCCCCCCCCCCCCCCCATATATTTTTTTTTTTATATTTATAATTCAAATCTGCAGCTAAAATGAGCTTTTAATTCTTTTTCCAACTTATTTTGCCCCCCCCTAGGGTCGGCGCATATGATCGGATATAGGTAGCCCCTCCCCCCCCCCCCGGCGCTACGACTCTGCCTCACACAACCACAAAAACCCCACATGACCTAACCCACACATGTACCCCCCTCCCTAGGTATGGCTGCCGCCTACCCCAGAAGAAACAAGATGCTGCCTGAACACGAGGCCAAGTTGCGGGAATGTTACGATAAAATCGAAGAAGAACTGGAGCCTTTGGATGTTTTTCACTTCATGTTTGCAAGGCAGGTCAGTTGATTTCTTTCCTGGGGCTTTTACTGGCTTTTTAAAAGTCATCTATATATATATAATTCTTTTCATGGAGACCATACGTGACACCACGCAGCTTAGCCGTTCCTACCCAGCTTTCTAGGCATATCGCTACCACCCTCACCCCCACCTGTCAGGTGAGCTGTGGTTCACCCCGAATGTTTACAATAGTTGAGCCGGTTCGAATAAGTGACAGCTATTAAGGGCAAATAATTTAGTTTTTAAACGATTTGAAACTAAGGCGAAATAAAAAGTTCTGCTTGATATTTTCATTGTCGTCTGTAAACGGCTGCTTTCACTGGGCGGGGTGGGGTGGGGGAAAGGGGGAGGTAGGGAGTCGGGTAGTGTCGAATTCACAAATTATGAATTGTTGATAAGTAGAAAATAAAACAATTGATAGCGGCGTATGCTACGTCGCGGGTCAGCTCGTTTATTATATTATTATCCATTTTTTGCAGCTTATAATGTGCTTTTAAATCTAGTTTTGGATATTTTTAAAATATATTTTTTTTGTGGGTTTTTTTTTAAATTGGTATTTGATATTTTTTGTGGTTGGAAGAAATGGTATATTATATTATTTCATATAGATCTCTGTAGTTTGTGCTAATTTATTTATATCGATTCTATACATTACACACATACACATGCATGGACAATATGTTCTCATAAGATTTTCGACCTTGAGGATAAAGAGAAGATTGAGGCAGGCGAGACTAGGCATGAGAGAGTACTCACTTTCATGAAAATGCTACCCTGTCGTGGACCGGATGCGTTCCAGTTTTTTCTGGAAGCTCTCGGTCAGAATAACTATGAAGATCTGGTCGACGCTATAGGCAAGTAAAACATCGTCTTTGTTAGTGGTAGTGGTAGATACCGGACAATGATTGCTGGGTGAATGGAGGGCTATAGGCAAGTAAAATGTCACTGTTAGTGGTGGATACTGTGTGAATGGAGGGTTAATGATGGGTGGATTTCAACTGGTTTGTGAGGGGTGGGCGACCAGTGTTAAGTTAGGGGTGGACCATTACTGGTCAGTGAGCGGTGGGTTACTACTGGTCAATGAGGGGTGGGTCATCACTGGTCAGAGAGGGGTGGGTCACTACTGGTCAGTGAGGGGTGGGTCACTACTGGTCAGTGAGGGGTGGGTCACTACTGGTCAGTGAGGGGTGGGTTACTACTGGTCAGTGAGGGGAGGGTCACCACTGGTCAGTGAGGGGAGGGTCACCACTGGTCAGTGAGGGGAGGGTCACCACTGGTCAGAGAGAGAGAGGGGACAACACTGGTCGGAGGGAAAGGGTTACCACAGGTAGTGAAAGGTTGGGTCACTCCGCTTTCATCCAATCGGTAGTGGGATATAACTCCGGCGCCCGCGATTATCTACACAGTTTGCTAGTTTTCTAAACCCTATCAACCAAATACACGCTGTCATCGTCACTAGTTGTATTTCTGTTACTCTGTTACTTCATCCTTGCGCTACACCTGTTGTTCTCTAAGTGACCTTGACATTTACACCAAACAGATCCCCAAGTTCGAATCCCAATCGATGAGCGTCTAGAGAACATTGAAAGGAAACAGAAGAAGTTAGAAATAAAACTCAATAAAAGGTAGGAAGCGCGTTTTCTTGCGCCAAAATATGTTTAAGCTTTTTATTTTATTTGAAAATTTTTAGAGCTGGGGTAGTTCGAACCCTTTGGCATATGAGGCTCGATAGCTGGGGACAGCAACTCTTCTAGGAGAGACAACTCTAAAATCAAACAACTGCTGCCTTGTTTGGAAGCAAATCCAAAAAGAAAAGCAGGCTTAAATAGTAGACAACGAATGGCGCATAATCAGTTGACACTTATACTTAATTGTTTTGGAGGGAATGAAGAAGAACAGAAAAAGAGCTGGGGGTAATAACTAGATAATAACTAGATAAAATCATTTTCTATTGGCTACTGCGTGCGTATCAAAGAACGAACATAGCTTTGCTTCCTGAACTCCTGCTTTGCTGGTTAGGTACGTGCAGGGTTTCTTTCAGATATAGTTCTCCAATGGGCCGGGGGGGGGGGGGGGGCTCTTGAAGCTTCCGGAGATCTTGCGAATACTGGGACTTGCTCCGGGGGAGGGGAGAATCCTTATTTCCGCCGAGACTGCCTGAAAAACTTTGTAGGCAGTCTTCACTTTCAATGCTTTCTTTGTCTCATAAGGTTTACTTTCTCACGTTTTTTTTTTGTTGTTGTTATTTTCTTGTCATCAGCCTAAAGGGCCCAACCAAATTAGAGATGAAAGAAGTCATGGACCAGATTACAGTATGTTGTGTTGAGTTCTTTGTTGTTTCCATCCTGATGTGTGCTTGGGAGAGAAATAGAGATAGAGAAAGTGTGTGTAGGGGGTTGTGGGGGTGGATGTGTGTAGGTTGATCTATGAATATATGTATCTATGTATGTAATAATGGGACGGCGTGGCCTATCGGTAGAGAGCTAGGCTGCTAACCCGAAACTTCAAGTCCGTAGAAAGTCCGTGAGTCAACCCAGCTCTGATGGGTACCTAACTCCCGTTCGGGAAAACGTAGACCGTGCGCATGTTGTTGTTTTTTTAAAGTTCTAATTCCTGACATTCAGTTCACTGACTCCCCTGTTGGAGGAAAACTAATCCCCCCCCCCCCCCCCACCATCATGTGCCGTTGCCGCAGAAACAGATGAACTCTACTTCATCTACCCGGCCAGAGCTGTCAGCTAATTTAATTAGCTTATGATTTAAGCTATCTTCTCGATTCTTATCTGAATCTCTCTCGAGTTCGAACCCTCAGGCAGATGAGGCTCGTTAGCTGGGGACAGCCACTCTTCTAGGAGAGAAACTCCAAAATTAAACAATTGCTGCCTTGTAGTTTGTTCTTGGTTGGACAAAGGCTATGGAAGCAAATCCAAAAAGAAAAGCAGGCTGAAATCGGAGTCAATGGCCTCAATGGCGCATAACCAGTTGACACGTAACGCAAAAAGCTCATAAATTCGAACAAAGTCTCGAGTTCAAACCCACTGGCAGATAAATCTCGATCCTCTTCAACACTAATAATTAAGAACGAAGAAGAAGAAAAGCTCTGAATCTCCATTTCCTACTTTTTGTTACTATGCGCTACTGTTAGCAGTTTCTAGTGTATGTAAGAGTCATTTTGGTATTTAAAAAAACAGTTTATGAATTTATTTTGCCATTCAAGACTGATAATTTCTAGAGAGTTATGATTCGAATGAATAGGTCACATTAGTCAATTAATTTCTAAACAAAAATAAATCGGTATGAATTGATTAATTTGTATTCATGTGACATGTTATGTATGGGTCCGTCTAGTCTGTTGACTCACCTTGTCTCAGGTAGACCGAACAAAGTACGACGAACTCCTGGAAGAGTTAGAGCTCCTGAAACAAAAGCTCCGGGACAAGGAGGAAGAGATCGAGCGTCTTCAACTGGATCAGGCCGAGGAGAAGTCGAGGCTGACACAGGAAATTCAGATGTTGAGGGACGAGCTAGAGGCTAAAACTATGACGTTAGGTATATTTGGATCCTGGTATTAATTAGTGCAATTTGTAATAGGACGGAGTGGCAAAACTGTGCCTTTCTCTCTACAAAACGCAACGAAATAATACTGTTACAATGTTATGTTTAAACTTCTAAGATACTACGACAAGTCTATAAATTCACAACAGATATTCGTGTGCCACAAACTTTAATAAATTTCCTCAGAGAAGCTCGAGACAGATGTTGGTTGTCTGATAGCCAGAGAGAAAAGAATGTCCAAAGAAATCGCGAACATTCAACAAAATCTGGCAAGTTTTTAAAATTATTTGTATACAATTTATATGCGATTTAGATCAACAAAAACTGGCAACATTTTAAACTTATACGTATACAATTTATATGCGATTTAGATCAACAAAATCTGGCAAGTTTTTAAAATTATTTTATATAGTTATATGCGATTTAGATCTTTCATCCATTCGTTATTTTATCAATTTTATTCTCAAAACATCTTTTTCGCTTGCCACACAAGCACACCCGAGTCGAGCGATACCTCTGGAGACAGGCAGAATGCGACCGGAAGTAGAATCTTGCACTATGCTATAAATAGTGTGATTCCGTCAGAATATTCTTTACCTCCCACGGGACATCGCATCAGCTGGTGATGAAACCGGCAGTGTTTCTTTCAGGCATTTCTTAGCACCCCCCCCCCCCCACCCCGACTAAAAAGATAAAAAGAAAATCAAATAGAATGTAAATACAGGAATCACCAAAAAGGGTCCACATAAATGGCGATGATATATTTAAGCTATTCATAAGACTTTACCAAAAATTTAAATATTCACCTCTTTCCGAGCAAATTATATCATAACGAAATCTTGCCTAACGGGGTCGATGGCGTCGCTATGTAGGGTGTCACTGGACGGCAGTGAAGGGGGGGGGGGGGTATCTACTCAACCACAATGAACATGCCTATAAAATGTACAACTTAGGTTGCTGAATCGAAGAGGCTTTTATAGTAATGTAAAGAGAAAAATTGATGTAAAATTTGCAATAATCTCACTGGAGTTTATATCTTTATTGTATCTTTCAGACATCTTTTAGTTGGTCAGGGCTCACCGCTATCCCACGTGGATGAAATAGGAAAAAAATATAATTATATGTAGGTATTTTAATTATAGTATGCCTCACTCCCACGCGCCCCTTAAATCTCATATCCCCCCCCCCACTCCATGAGTAATAAACCGGGAGCGATCTCCCCTGAACTTTCTCGAATATTCTTATATAAAAAACAGGGGATGGGAACTCGGGATATAGACATGAATTTTAATCCATTTTAAGTACTTAAACTTTTTAAAATAGAATAAAATCTCGTAGAAAAAAGAATTGCACACAAGTGAACGCCAAATAAAATGTGCATAATAGTGCGGAATATTATTAGTACTTTATAAATTTACATTCGTTTTTTTTTGAGAAATCGGAAAGAGCGTAAATTAGTACTTCCGTAAACGGAAATTACTCAAAATTTGACAGAAGGTAGAGAATTAGATCTTTTACTTACCTGTGAAACTTCATTTATCTATCTGAAATAGTACTCAAGTTATAGGCTTTTGAAAAATTCAAAGTGAAAAAGTACCACTTCCGGTTATCGGAAATTGCTCAAAAGTTCATACAGATCTACAATTTTGATAAAATACTTATATATGAAATTTCATCAACCTAGCTGTAACGGTACTCAAGTTATCGTGTTTACAGACACACAGACACACACACACAATCACATACACACAGACATACGGACAAGATTGCAAAATTATGTTTTTCCGTATCAGTGAGGTGTAAAACGTCTAGATTTGCAAAAATCTCGATTTTCTTTTTTGCACGATTACAAGACTTTCTCTATACTTCGTTTATACGAGAGAGTAAAAATGCCTGAAAGAAACCCTCTTCACTTTGCACAATCGGCTTTAGTTAATGAAACGAGAGGGATACCACAGCGTTGGTGAACTGTATGCATGAATCAAACTTGATCTGCTGCATTCATCTCATTCGTAAACATATTTCATTATTTAAGTTTAAAATCTTACAGTCTAAATACAATAGTAAATACCTATTAAGGTTGGTGTGCGATTTATTTGTATCATTAAAATGCTAATCGAACTATGTATGATGATTGTCTGTTTTGAAATATTATCTCCCAGCAGAAGCTACTGTTTAATAATAATAATAAGGACAGCCCACGTCGGCCAGTGGTCAAGAAATACAGAGGCAGACTTCAAGACTGGAAACCGTGACGTCATCAGCTGGTTAACTAACTCTTACATTACTGTAAAATATGCTGCGATATTCACTTAATTAAAATACACAATTTGTAATCATATTTAAAATAAACCGGGAGTGATCTCCCCTAAACTTTCTCGAATATTCTAATATAACACTACAGGGGATGGCAACTCGGGATATAGACTTCTAGACATGATTTATAATCCATTTTAAATACTCACATTTCTTAAAATAGAATATAATCTCGTAGAAAAAAGAAATGCACACCAAGTGAACGCTAAATAAAAAAGCGCATAATAGTGCGCAATATTATTAGTACTTTATAAATTTACATGCGTTTTTTGAGAAATCGGAAATAGCGTAAATAAGTACTTCCGGTCAACGGAAATTACTCAAAATTTGACAGAAGGTAGAGAATTAGCTCTTTTACTTACATATCAAATTTCATTTATCTATCTGAAATAGTACTCAAGTTATAGGCTTTTGAAAAATTCAAAGTAGAAAAAGTACCACTTCCGGTTATCGGAATTCGCTCAAAAGTTGATACGGATCTACGATTTTGATAAAATACTTATGTATGAAATTTCACCAGCATAGCTGTAACGGTACTCAAGTTATCGTGTTTACACACGGACACACAGACACACACACACACACAGACATACGGACAAGATTGCAAAATTATGTTTTTCCGTATCAGTGAGGTGTAAAATGTCGAGATTTGTAAAAATCTCGATTAGTTTTTTTTGCACGATTACAATACTTTCTCTTTACTACGTATATACGAGAAAGTAAAAAAGGAAAGAAGTTAGTAAATTATAAATACAGTTATGGCCGTGATTTATTTATAGCAGCCAATCATATGTGGTTTCCACTACTTGGACGACATATCGATTGTTACATCATGTAGACACTCCAGTCAAATATTGTTGGAAACATCACTGCTACTAGCAAGAATTAATTTTGTATTCTTATTTTTACTATTCCAGTTATTTCTTCACCAAGCTATTTGGCGGTGAAAGCTTTAAATTTTCAACAAACTCGACTTATTTAGATCTACATTATATGCACATTTATATAAAAAACACATCAATTATTAGTCATTTGAGAAAAAATAATAGTTCATTTAAAATATATATGTTTAACTCACAGTTAATATTTAATTCAGCCCACAAAGGGTGATGGCGAATGTTTGTCTTCCTTACGCGTTTAATGTAATGTACTTAAGATACTCTCTGGTTGGAAGGTTATGTTTTACGCAGAGTCGTAGCGACGAGGGGGGGGGGGGTACATATATCCCCGGGCGCAGACCCTAGGGGCGCCAAAATAAGCTCAGTTTGGCTGCTGTTTTGAATTATAAATATATAAAATATAAAGGGGGGGGGCAAATTGAAAGTTTGTCCCCGGGCGCCGGGAGGGGCTGCTACGCATCTGGTCATACGTCTGAGGTAACTATACGAGCCAATTTTGTTGAATTATTTTTATCTGCTAATTCCATCGGCTAGAATACGTATCAATAATTTGAAAAAAAAAGTTAAGTTACTCTTTCGTAACTATCGAGCCATAGAGCAGATGAAGTAGAGTGCATATGTTTCACAAAGCTCAACAAATGAAGCAAAGGTGTGCAGTGTTTTTCCATTTTTCCAGACTTTTTTTTGAGGGGGGGGGGGATGGGGGAAGGGCGGAAATTGTGAAAAGTATATGTTTTCTATTTAAATTCCATTTTGTTTAGGGGGGGGGGGGTAGACTTTCTTCGGGGTGCCTCCTTGCATTACAAATCTATCTCAAAGTAACATTTTGTAAAGTGTGGTAGTCGCCCTCTTTTCAAGGCCGGACGGTCGCAGTAGCATCCGGCCTCGCTCGTCACAAACTCACGTGACAGATATAAAACGGCTGTACGCATGCGCCGTAATCAGCGTTCTCTAAGAATATTGACGCCGTCTATTTTAAACGTGGAGGGAGGGGGAAAAATCGAACTACCTCTACTACCACTCACTCCCACCCTCGTCTTCTCCGCCCTCGTGTGTTTTCTCCCACTTCTGCTGGGGTTCGCTCGTTTTTTTCTCGTAAATAGGTCACGTTTGTTGTTGTCCTCAAACCACCAGCAGACGCGAAATGAAAATCGTCATTTACACTGGAATTTTAATTAATTCTGTTTGATGATTTTTACATCTTTATCAATAGAGAAACTTTATATGTTTTTAGCTCGTGCATTTTTCGTTTTATATTTATTTTTACATTTTTAGAAGTTTGTTTTAGAAAGATTATTGGATTAAATTAATTTAAATTTGTTAATCATAGTATTTTTTTTAGATGCGTAGATGTATAAAATTGTATACTAAGTGTTCATATAAACTTAAAAATAACCTTACAAATTAGGATTGTTTTGTTTCGTAAAAATGAGAACTAAATATTGAAATTTTATTTTTCGTGGAATAATAATTTTTTGCTTATTTTCAAAGTGTTGATTTTTTTTTAAAATATTAGTAACGGAGGTTTCTATTTGTTTTTAAAATAATTCGTGCTTATTCTAAATCTAGTAGTTTTTTCTTGGTGTGAAGTTTAATCGAAGATTCTTATCACCTTTATAGCAAGTGTTACCTTTGAGCTAAGAATGTGAGCTAACTGTGTTAGCTATTGGAATACATAAACATAACCATCTCGCGTTGTTTTCATATTAAAGGAAAATGCACACTTATTTTCATTGGTTACATTTTGGCTTTCTACTGGTCAATCTGGCAAGTCTGTTTGTTGGCGTCACTTGGGGTGAGTATTGGTACTTTCTCGTAATTTGTGTACAAATCCACACTTTAATATAAAAGTATTAAACAGAGTAAGTATAGTAGAGAAGTAAAGATTTTAGTGAAAAAATCGCATGTTTTAAATCTTAAACTCAAACTCACAACCGTAAACGACGTCGATTTGCTTTGTCTGTGGTCGCACATTTTGCTCTGGCCAAATGCGTTCGGACGAACATTTCTTTTAAACTAGTGATTATCATTTACACAAATGGCAGTCTATTTGAAATTTCGATTTCCCCATAAGCATTGAATATGGATACATTTCAGCGAGCAGGTTAAACCTACAACAATGCTAACGTGGTTCTCGTCTACTGTAAAACAACATTGCCTCAGGTTTCAAACACTCCAGTTTACGAACTGCTAGATTTTCTTTTTGTTCCTTAACTTTCAGAGCATGTAGAAGGAGAAACTAGTTGAGATGACCCGAGGGTATATATCTTGCTGTCGCAGTGGGTGTGTCCACTCGGTAGGGAGTACGACTGGCAACACGCGAGGCTCAGGGTTCGGATCCCAAACTCGTGTCGTCAGTATGTGCCTGATTCCATCAAGCTCTGATAGGCTCCTCCCTCTAATTCAACTACCACGTTGACTTTCAAGCTCACAAGGATAACATTACAGTTAGTTGTAGTCGAGAATTTTTAAACTAGTGAAATGTATTTGGGTTTGTAACACCAAAAGGTTTATTTTTCTTTAGTACCAGAACTAGGAGTGGACCGGCTGTGTCCAGAGGGGGGGGGGGGGGGGCGAGGGGGGCGAGGGGGGGGGGCTGAAATTATAAAACAAAACAAAAAAGTTGTTTTGAATGCAAATACTTAAAGAAAACAGAAACGACTTGCCAATAAATACAGAATTGCAAACAATTTTAAAAATGAGTTAGCAATAAAAAAAAAAGCTTTTTAAATGCAAGAACTAGATTCCTCCTCCATATCAACTGACCCCATGCAAGAAACATGGGATGGTGTGGTCAAGCGTCAGAAAACCAGATTCCTAACCGATAATCCCCAGTTCAGATCACGGTCGCGGAAGTCCCCTGCAGACGGGTAGATTACTGACAAACGTCTTTCTTCTACTTCCCCCCCCCCCCCCCACGATAGAAATGGAATTTATATAGAAAATATATACTTTTAACATGTCCACCCCCCCCCGGAAGTTTTAGTCCGCCACCCCCCCCCCCTAAAATTGCAAGTGCCCCCCCCCCCCCCCCCGGAGAAAAAAGTCTGAAAGAAACACTGCTGACATTGCATTTTTTTTATATGCCAGCGTAAGAGAACAAAAATGAAACTAAATCCTAGTAGTCACTCTCGCCAGAATGAAAGACAAAAATACTACCAACAACGATCTTTCACAATCATTTAACAAATACAGGACCTATTCCAATAACAAGCGAAATGATTAGCTATGGAAGTTATTACCCGTAAAATTGATCTTTTAAAAAAAAAAATTAAAGCCTAACCACCAACTTAATCTTATTGTCGCATCGAAATATGGAAGAAAACGAAATATTAATCACGCATTATCTTATTAGTATTTAGTTGTTTAGCTACCCTGTGAGGGGGGGGGGAGTTAAGGTACTATAAGACCCCCCCCCCCCCCCCCATTAACCAATGCTATGGATCCCAAAGCTTTATTCTCTTCTCATTATCAACTTAATAAACACAAAACCCTCTCCTCAGCTAATTCATTCCATTCACCATCACTTAATCCCCAGCACTAAAATATCGGTGAGTGCTTCTTCAAAAACCTTCGCAACAAATCTAGCAATAACGCTCTGTATTTTTAATTCTGTCTGAGAAAAAGATTTAAAAATTTTAACAAAGGAACCCTTGAGAAGTACGTGTCTCGGGCAACGAACAGCGTGTTAGTAATGCTGTCTTGGAACCAATTAAGTTTGTAGCTCGGGGGATTCTATGCACCGGCCTAGAGTGAATCTCTCTTCTCTTTTTGTTTATTTGAAGAGCTTTACTTTCTAAACAATAAATTGTTTTGTTATAGATTGTGTTGTTTTTGTATTTTTTTGTTATTGTTTTGGTGTGTTGTTTTGTTGTTTCTGTTTGTTGTTGCTGTTGTTTCTTGTTTCATTTTTGCTGTTGTCTTAGTTGTATTAGTTTGTTGTTGTTTTGCCGTTGTTTGGTTGTTTGTTTGTATTTGTTGTTTTGTTCCCCTTTTTTATTGTCACTGAAGAAATTCAAAATCTGTTCCATTTTATTTATATGAAGAGCTTTTTCTTTTACTTTCTCGTATATACGAAGTATAGAGAAAGTATTGTTATCGTGCAAAAAAAATAAAAAATAATCGAGATT